GTGTGGCCAATGGTCAGGGATGATGGCAGTTCAAGTCCAACATTTGGTTCTCCATCCCTGACTCTAGGGGCGTTGCTGATAACATGATTCACCAGCCCAATCCAACAACCAAATCCCCTTTCGGGCATTCTGAAATACCGTAATACCTCTGGAGGAGCAGGCCTTCCAGTCTTGCATTGCACAGGAATTTAATCTGTGGCGAGAGGGATGTAGACATACGTTGACGGGACACACAGCCAATAAGTGAACCAACTGGGGTTGTTGCAGCTATTAGTGATGGCAGTTGCTACAGGAGCTGATAGGCATGAAGGCTCCTCCCAACTTGCTTTTTTGGCCTCAGACTCCTGGCAAGGAAACAAGACCCATTAAGCTTCTTCACCTTCTTGAGAGAACGCTCCATTTTCCTTTTTATAACAGGCCAATAGGGGTTGGTTTCAGTGAAGGAAACCAACTGCTATTGGCCTGTTCTCCTTGCCTGCTCCATTCAAAATACTGTTCAGTGCAAAAGAAGCTCAGTGGAGAGCAAGGGGAAGCGAAATAGCCCAGCAACCTAATTCCTTGACCTTGTCTCAGTTTGCAGGACTGGCAAGAACAAGAGAGGGGCCAGTTTGGCAAGAAAAGAGTGAACAGTGCAATGTCTTTCTACTCCTAGCTTAATGTCTTGCTTGGAATAGCCATTCCAGTAGTGGCAACCATAGAAAATTTGATCCGCCTCACTCTTTATATGAGCTTCAAGTACTGATTGTAAACTTCTTCTTTTTTAGTTCTTTTTAATAAAGTGGTTACCATCCATAGCTGGGGCTCTGTAGGTTATGTGCTGTTTTAATTGTTTGTTATTAGTGGTGGTTACTGCACTTGCCTTTTGTCTGTTGCACACTGTTTCACAACTGCAGGTTTTCGCCACAATTGCTAGCTATCTTGGGAACTCCAGTGTGGAGCCAAAACAGAGGACGGGGATGCTTTTGATAAGTAAATATATCAGACCATAGACACAGCAAGGATAAAGCTTGAGGTTTAAAAGACAACATGGACTGACCCATTTAACATCTTAGATCCTGTCATATACATAAAGCCAAGACGTTCATTCCATGCTGCTCCTTCCCAAGGAGACAGGATTTTCAACACGAATGGGGACTCTGTGGAAGGTCAAATACATCAACAACTTTTGCTTATCTTCCTTGCTGTCCATTTGTGGTCCTGGCAGCAATTGTGACCTCTCTTCCCACTGACATCATTTCTCTCTCTCTCTCTTTTCAACACGCAGTGTGCCAGAGCGAAGGCAGGAAGTTTCAGAAGGATGCCAGGTACACAATGAGAGGTGGATATGCGATGAGAATTGAAGCCAGGCCGTGAGCAATGCTAAATTCCACATTCTGGGTTTTCAGTAAAAAGGAGGGTATCCAGCAAGATTGTGGAGTGAAATTGCTTCTTCTTTTTTTTTTAAATAATATTTATTAAAGTTTTAAGTTTACAAAAAGGCAAAAGAAAAAAACACCAAATTAAACAATAACAAAACCAACACATCACAATAAAAAACTGAAAAATAGGAACAATTAAAAACAAAAGAAAAAAGAAAAAAACAAATCAAACCTTCCCATAACTTATCTTTCATTTGCTTGTTTCCCTGACCTCCTCACACCTCCCTTTTTTGTATTCTAGGTCAATTATCCATTTCAGCAAATCCTTTCCCTCTCTTCAAAATTTTTATCCTGAAAATTTATCTTGATCTTGATATAAGTTTACTTTCCTTCTTTTCACCAATTAACAGTCTATTTTTCTTTAACTCTTTGATACATTTTTGCTAGAATCACCTAGATTCATTCCAACATCATTCCAACATTCATTAATTTTACAATGTTTCTGTAAATAGTCTTTAAATTTCTTCCAGTCTTCCGCCACCGACTCTTCTCCCTGGTCTCGGATTCTGCCAGTCATTTCTGCCAGTTCCATATAGTCTATCACCTTCATCTGCCATTCTTCCAGAGTGGGTAGATCTTGTGTCTTCCAATACTTTGCAATAAGTATTCTTGCTGCTGTTGTGGCATACATAAAGAAATTTCTGTCCTTCTTTGACACCAATTGGCCGACCATGCCCAGGAGAAAGGCCTCTGGTTTCTTCAGAAAGGTATATTTAAATACCTTTTTCATTTCATTGTAGATCATCTCCCAGAAAGCCTTAATCCTTGGGCATGTCCACCAAAGGTGAAAGAATGTACCTTCTGTCTCTTTACATTTCCAACATTTATTTTCGGGCAAATGATAAATTTTCGCAAGCTTGAGTGGTGTCATGTACCACCTGTATATCATTTTCATTATATTCTCTCTTAAGGCATTACATGCCGTGAACTTCATACCTGTGGTCCATAACTGTTCCCAGTCAGCCATCATAATGTTATGTCCAACATCTTGTGCCCATTTAATCATAACAGATTTTACCGTTTCATCCTGAGTATTCCATTTCAACAGCAAATTATACATTCTTGACAAATTCTTAGTTTTGGAATCTAACAGTTCTATTTCCAATTTTGATTTTCCACCTGGAAACCATTTTTTTTAATCCAAATTATATGCCTCCGTTATCTGATAATAATGAAGCCAATCTCGCACTCTATTTTTTAATTTTTCAAAACTCTGCAGTTTTAATCTGTCTCCGTCTTGTTCCAAAATTTCCCAGTATTTCGGCCATTTAGCCTCCATACTGAGCTTTTTCTGAGCCTTCACTTCCATTGGTGACAGCCACCTTGGGGTTTTATTCTCAAGCAATCCCTTATATCTTATCCAAACATTAAACAGTGCTTTTCTGACAATATGGTTTTTAAACGCTTTATGTGCTTTGACCTTATCATACCACAAATATGCATGCCACCCAAAGACATTGTTAAAGCCTTCTAAATCCAACACATCAGTGTTCTCAAGAAGCACCCATTCTCTCAGCCAGCAAAAAGCGGCTGATTCATAGTAAAGTTTTAAGTCTGGCAGGGCAAATCCACCTCTTTCCTTAGCATCGGTTAATATCTTAAATTTTATTCAAGGTTTCTTGCCCTGCCAGACAAATCTAGAGATATCTCTCTGCCACTTCTTGAAACACTCCATTTTGTCCAATATTTGCAATGTTTGAAACAAAAACAACATCCTTGGCAATACATTCATCTTTATCACAGCAATTCGGCCTAACAATGATAACTTCAGATTTGACCATATTTCTAGATCCTTTTTCACTTCCATCCAACATTTTTCATAGTTATCCTTAAACAGATTCACATTCTTAGCAGTCATGTTGACCCCTAGGTATTTCACTTTCTTAACCAGTGTTAATCCTGTCTCCTTCTGAAACCTTTCTCTCTCCGTCACTGTTAAATTTTTCTCTAAAACTTTAGTTTTCATCTTATTCAACTTAAATCCTGCTACTTGTCCAAATTCTTGGATCAGTTCCAGTACTCTTTTGGTACTAGATTCTGGCTCCTGTAATGTCAATACCAAATCATCAGCAAATGCTTTCAGTTTGTACTGTTTAGCTCCAACTTGTATACCTTTAACTGTTTGGTCCCTCCTAATCATGTTTAAAAGAACTTCCAGGACCGATATAAAAGCAATGGAGAGATTGGGCAACCTTGTCGTGTTCCTTTCTCTATCTTAAATTCTTCCGTCACTACATTGTTCACAATTAATTTAGCCTTTTGTTCTGAATAAATTGCACCTATACCATTTTCGAAACCTTGACCAACCCCCATCCCCTGTAGATTTTTCTTCATAAAACTCCAAGAAATATTGTCAAAGCATTTCTCCGCGTCCACAAAAATCAAAACTGCTTTAGTATTAATATTCACTTGTAACTTTTCTAGAATGTTAATTATATTCCTCGTGTTGTCAGACAAGTGTCTACCCGGGAGAAAACCGGTTTGGTCTTTATGGATTTCTTCTACTAGTACCTTTTTTAATCTTTTAACCAAAATATCTGCAAAAATTTTGTAATCCACATTAAGCAAAGATATGGGGCGGTAGTTCTTAAGCTGTGTCTTCTCAGACTCTACTTTCGGTATAAGTGTGATGTAAGCTTCCTTCCACGACTCTGGTGCCTTTTTCTCTTCCAATATTCCATTACAAACTTCTTTTAGTGGCTATATTATCCATTCTTTCAGGGATCTATAGTATCTTGAAGTTAGTCCATCTGGACCTGGAGATTTACCCAATTGCATATTCTGGATGGCCCCTTCTATCTCTTGCTCCGTTATTTTGTAGTTCAACATTAGCTTATTTTCTTGAGAGATTTTTTGTAATCCATTTGTTTTCAAAAAACAGTCAAATGTCCATTTGTTTCTGAGTTTCCTGTGTATATAGTTGTTTAAAATACCTCTGAAAACACTTTCTAATCTCCACTGGATTCTGTATATTTTCCCCTTCTACTTCCAAATTTGTAATAGTGTTAAGTTTTTGTCTTTTTTTCATTTGCCAAGCCAGCAGTTTTCCACATTTGTTTGCCGATTCAAATGTCTTTTGTCTCATCTGTTTAATTTTCCATTCTATTTCCTGGTTCATCATTTTCATATATTGTACTTGATATAACTTTATATACTTGATATAACTTTTTTTTCTGTGTAGGGCCCCAAATAATCAAAAAGTAGGGATGCATGATGAAGGGGATGGTGTGTTTGCTGTCAAAATATAGGGCTTTGTGGAAGTTTAAGCCAGGTTTTTAGTGCCTTGTGAAACCCGAGGTGGACTAACATGTAATGAAAATAATATTAATTATAATAATATTTGCCTATTCATATGATATTTCTTCCACACAATTGGGACAACAACCCAACTGGGTGTCCCGACTGTGTTAGGCTCCTACACATGATATGCACTGGCAGCCTTTGCAGACAAGCCACACACAACCCAGGATTGTTGACAGAAGGAGAAGAGACATTGGAGCAGGACCAAAAAAATATATAAAAATGATGGCAGTTTAACTGAAACCATTGAGCCTTGGGCTTGCCGATTGAAAGGTCGCAGTTCGGACTTCCGGGGTGGCGCCTCCGGAAAATGGCGGAATTCCCTTCGGACTGAAGGGAACCCGCTGCACGGAGGCTTGGGTCCTGCCGCTACGGCGCAGCGGGGACCCGCAAAAACCACAGGCGGAAGAAGCCTGTGGACGTGGGACTCGGCGGGCACCGAGAGCGCTCTCTCACTTGTACAGGAGCCCGGTAACGGGCTCCGGAGTGGGAGGTGCGTGGTGCTGTGAGTCGTCTGCTTCCTCCGTGCAGCAAAGCCGCACTGCCGTTATCGGAGAGCGCTGCCTTTTTCCTGGACAATTTGGCATCTAAAACATCTATCCGTGAGTACCTGATCTTGGAAGAGCTGAACCACTTTTAAGACTGGTGAATAAACAAATAATATTGGACTTGAAATTGAACTTAATTGGGACTCGGAATGGGAAGGTCTAAACAGGAAGTCGCCTTCCGTTCTTTTGTTATGTGAAGAAAGCAAAGACAAAATATACTAAAGCCTGAAAATTAAATTTTAAGAGAACTAGAATTCAACATCTAAGATTTCTGAACCCCCCCTTTGACTGCAGGAGAAAAAGGGGGTTGTATTTGGACTTTTCAATCCTGCGGAAGTGAGTTTAAAATAAAGCAATTTTCCACCGCCCTGAACCAGGAGCGGGCTGTCAGAATTGACGTTCTGAAGTTTATCCAGCTCGACAGTTAGTTAAAAGAAGGGTAACATTTTGATTCTACTGTTGCCTCTTGAATTTGGAAGGGGGAATTTTGGATAAAGTGTTTCTGGAAAAAGAAAGATTGTTGCTGTTGCTTTTATTCCTTTAAAAAAAAAAAAAATTCCATCTAGTGGAATTTAGTGAAATTGCAACGCAGAGAGATTAAAAGAGAAGGACTATTGGACTATTCTCGTGGGAAAGAATTTTCTTTGACCTTGAAGGACAATGCTAGTACAAAGGCTTGAACAATTGTTCCTGGAAGGTTTTTCAAAACTAAGTGCCCAGCTGGACCAGATGCGTCAGGAGACGACCTTGATGATGGAAGTTACCAGAGCACAGCAGCAAACAAATGAAATTCAGTTAAAGGCTATACAAGCATATGAACCTGCTGTAGTGACGGAGGCTTCAGAGATGGAGGGACCTTTGGACGGGCAAGATCAGCCTTTGAACTTGATAAATGAACTTGGGACAAACCAGATTCGGAAAGATGAAATGTGGTCAGATTTGGAAATGGGGGGATGGATCGAACCCCCTCCATATGGTTATTTGGACCTTCCGAGTCTGGTGATGGGCTATCAGAGGATTGGAGTAGCCGAAGTCTCCAAGCTTTGTGGAAATTTGAAGTGGTATTATTTGCTGTCTGGCTTGGGCAATGGGTTTGGGATGGACTTGTTGCAAAGGGTCAAAAGCATTTTCTTGCTGGAGCATCCACGACTGGAAAGGAATCATCAACAAGAGTGGCGAAAGGGGCAAGAAAGAGACTTGAGGGCCTCGGATACGAGACAACCAGGTTAAGGAGCCGGATTACCGAGGTTAAAAGGACTGACAATCCCGGGTCCAGGGGAGGGGAGGTTGGAAGCTGACTGGACTGAATTTGACTTATTATTTTTCTTTTTTACTTTTTAATATTGGGAATGCTTACAAATGTTTGAAGGATGTTGAATGAAATTACATGACTTAAGTAAGGATTGGTAAGTGATTCGTAAAAGGTAATGATGCAAGAATTTGGTAAATATTGAATATAAGCTATGAGTTTTAAAGTTTTTATATGACAAGAGGGAAAATAGAATAAGGAAACGTAATGACAGATTGTTATGAAAAAACAGAAAGGATTTGCTGTAAAAATTAAAAATTAAGAAACAAAAGAGGGGAGGAGGAGGAAGTCTAGAAAGGAAGTCAATAGAGATGGTAAAGGACTTTATATTTTTGTTTTTCTGTTTCTCTTTTTTTTTTCTTTGCGGCTGGGTTTTCTTTTCTTTTTTGTTTATGCACTAATTTTGTTTTTTGTATCCTTAAATTTTTTTTTTGGAAATTTTTGTTGTTATTTTTTGAAAATTCAATAAATATCAACTATAAAAAAAAAAATGAAAGGTCGCAGTTCGAATCCCCGCGACGGGGTGATCTCCCATTGTTCAGTCCCAGCTCCTGCCAACCTAGCAGTTCGAAAGCACGTCAAAGTGCAAGTAGATAAATAGGTACCGCTCCGGCGGGAAGGTAAATGGCGTTTCTGTGCGCTGCTGTGGTTTCACCAGAAGTGGCTTAGTCATGCTGGCCACACAACTGGACAAAACTGTCAGGGGTCCTTTACCATTTTTTAAACACAATTATATACAGCTCCCTTGTAGGGCTCTTAGCACAGGCCTGCCCCAGGGTCTCTCAAAGATGAAGGTAAAGGAAGAAAAGAATTAGCATGTGAAGATCTGATGGTTGCTCTATGCTTAAGAGGGCAGTGTCAAGTTAATACACTGTGCCTCAATATAGCATAACCTTTAGAGTAGAAATAGGGAATAAGCATTACTACAGATGTTGTTAAGACTCCAACACTCATGAGTCCTATTGGCAATGGACAAGGATGATGGGAATTGCAGTCCTCCAACATCTGCTGGCTACAAGCCCCCCCCCCCCCCCGTTTTAGGATTTAACATATTTGTTTAGGATAACTTTAGAAAGGCCCTTATCTTGAAGATATGCACTGCAGCTTGAGATACAGCAATAATTTTAATGATTTTAATAATTGTGTAGAAGCAGGAATTCTCATGGGTGCAGTTTCTTATCCTTGCCCTAAAACATAAATTAGGTCTGCTGAAATTCCTGTTTCCACTACAGTTACATTCTGAAGAGCATCTGATCAGCATAAGCAAGCATGATCTTTTAAGGATTTGGGCCGTTGGATATGTAATTTATTTCTAAAAGGGCTTCTAGGGACCTTTTACAAAGGATTGTGCTGTTCTTTGCATGGTATTGGATTTTTCCAGTGTTGCTAAAACGTTTCTTCCTGGGGCTTGTGGAATATTTATAGGTAAGGGGTGGCTATTTTTAGGTACCTGTGACACCAGTACAGCATTTAATACTGTTGTTTTTTTCTATGCCAAATTATAGATTCTTACAAAGGTTAGGCATTAGCAGCTTCACAGAAAGTGTCTAAATATTTAGTTATGCATACAGTAGGAATAAATTAGCAAATTTTATATTTGCTGAGGTTTTCCATATTTAATAGCAGATATGAGTTTTTGAACAGCTATCAAAATAAACAGGAATTGTCCTCTGAGACATGAAGGGGAGGGGAAAAGAGAGATAAGATAATGGATATTCTCAAGCCCTCACACACCCATTCACCCAAACCCATGTCGCTGCAGCTGCTTTGGTGCTTGCTGGGCTGCTATGTATACAAGGCATGCAATGGGGTGGAGGCATGCCGTGGGGAAGGCTGATGGTTTTGAGAGCCTCTTCCACCAACAGAAAAGACCACATTCACTCACTCACTCACTCACTCACTCCACTTTGCCCCCCACATGCACACCCTTTGGGAAAGAGTTGGGAGGACTCTAGGACCCTGTCAGAGCCCTCACACCTCCTTCCCCAAACCCAGCATCAGCGCACCCCTCAGCTCAGCGCCCAGTGCCTGTGCACTGCTCATACACCCCTAAATCTGCCCCCTGATTGTCCTGAACATTGGGAGGGGGCAGCCTTCCAAACATTTTATTGGGGGATGAAGTGACCTGGGCCCCTTAGAGTTAATGCCTGTGTTCAGCTTCACTGATGATGATTGAATAGCCTCGTTTATAGAAACTGAGCCACAGGGTAGATACCCTGTTTTCTCCTCCCATTAAGAAATAACTTAAGATTTCTGAGAACTGCAATGTTTGCTGCAACCCATTTGGCCCAAAGTTGCATTTTCAGATTTAAAAACACACACTTTTTTTCCTTAGAGAAGGAAATGTGTTGCACATAGCTTGCCTATAGCCATGCTGTAATATAATACTCCCTTTCCTTGCCCATACTGTCGTCCTCATTGGGCTGTTCTGTTGAGATCTTAGCAAAAGAATGATGCAAACCCCACCAGCACCCCTATTTTTCAGCTGGTTGGGCAGTCACTTTCCTGGACCGAATGCTTTCTTCACATCTTTTATGCTCTGATGCTCCCTTGGGATGAAACATATACAATTCATTGCTTCGTGATCAGCTCCTGACCCAGGCAAGCCCCTGAGCCATGAGATTTGCAGACAGCTGCCAGTCTAGCGAAAGCTGCCAGGTTTGTCAAGACCCTGCAACAGATCCAGAACATCAGCTAAAGTAAAGGACCCCGGGGGTGGGGGGGAGCAGACCTTGCAGCAGGTCAGTGATAAAGAATGGGAAGTAATGGATCATCAGGGAGGGAGGCAGGGAAACTGATAACTGCAGCTCTGCGTCCAAATCAGTATGTCCTGTAAATGCATCAACTGAGCTATAGCTCATGTCAGCTCGCATACTGATGGTGGGTGTTAGTCAAAGAACTAGTTGCTTCCAAGTTTGTACATATCCTTCACTGGAATAAAATTGAATGTCCACACCTAGGCAATCCAAATTCTGGGTCAAGAAAAAAACCCCAAAATATGCAGTTAAGCGGATTTACATAATCTGGGTGGTTTTTCCCTTTGCACAATCTTTTCATTCTTTTTGTTTGTCTACCGTCTTTGCTATTTTGACTAATGATTTTCAGTTCATGGGAAGGGTAAGGAAGTGTGGCAGGACATTGGATCCCAGTCTTATCCAGCCACCTTTCTGGCTTTTGACATGTAATCGCCCACATTCCTGCTCACATTCAAGCCATTTTCAATCATGAAAGACAAGAAGATGAATTTTGTGACCAAGAAAATTTCTGCAGAATTGTTGCACTGGTGGCGCAGAACATAGTCTCTGAGGGGAGAGAAGAATACTAGGGGTTGTGCCCAACTAAGCTTTACTCAAGTAGACTCACTGAAATGATCCAATAATGGGATGCAGGTGGCGCTGTGGGTTAAACCACAGAGCCTAGGACTTGCCGATCAGAAGGTTGGTGGTTCGAATCCCCGCGACAGGGTGAGCTCCTGTTGCTCGGTCCCTGCTCCTGCCAACCTAGCAGTTCGAAAGCACGTCAAAGTTTAAGTAGATAAACAGGTACCGCTCTGGCGGAGAGGTAAACGACTTTTCCGTGCGCTGCTCTGGTTTGCCAGAAGCAGCTTAGTCATGCTGGCCACATGACCCGGAAGCTGTACGCCAGCTCCCTCGGCCAATAAAGCGAGATGAGCGCTGCAACCCCAGAGTTGGCCACGACTAGACCTAATGGTCAGGGATCTCTTTACCTTTTAAGTCAATAATGGCCATTGATTTCAATTGGTCTACTCTCAGTAGCACCAGCATTAAATACAACTCTACATTTTATGGATACCCCAATCCAGCAGATCCATTCCCTTACCATAAAGATGGAGGCCTGGGAGAATTGTAGAGTCATTGAGGGCAACATGGAACACATGAAGGTGGATCTGTAGATCAAAGCAAAGGTCCACCTAGCCCAGTATCCTACTTCCCACAGGGATGAACCAGATAACTCCAGAATGAAGGACACAAGGGAGTTGCATAGTCATCATGACCAATAACTTCTAATTGAGACTTTCTCCCTTAATTTATCTCATCTCCCTTTAAAGTCAAGTAAGTCAGAAGATGCAGTTGACACACAGGTATTCTGCAATGCACCATAAGAGCACAGCATAGAACAGGGAGAGAGTATTGAACTTCAGCTCCCATCAGTCTGCAGCAGAGTGAACTCTTGAGAATGGGAGTTGTGGATGGGCCACAGGTTCCCATCCCTTTTTATATCCTATAGTTTTGACTGAACTGTTTTCTATACTTTTAGTTTAGCATTAAAATGCTGACCCTGAAATGTAAACTTCTGAATGGATAGGGTTGTTGTTACTACCTTTCCCCCACTTTTTGTTAGAACAGCTGCACAACAGACCAAAAAAATCAAGCTTTTCCTAGCACTGAGATGAAGAGAACTTCAGCTACTGTTCTTTGAGTGGCTTTTTAAAAGGTCCAGGAGTTCTGCAAAGGGGGGAAGTGGCGACTCAGCATGCACACTTTTTTCCTAAGCAAGAGAATTCATTGTGACAGCTTTCTGCAAGCCAATTCAACACAACATTTTCTGCTTCATTTTCTATTTATAATTATATCATCATCATCATCATTATTATTTAGGAGTTTGGGGGCAAACTGCATGTGGTGCTTATTTGCATGCCATCACCCCCTCCAATGGTTTGGCTGTTGTTTTTACAATGCAAAAGAGAAATAGCAGGGGCCTGCTCAAAACCACCATCACCCAGCTGGTTTACTCCACACAGAGGGAGGGAGAATAGAGGACACCCCTATATATTTTTTTCCATGGGTGGCAAAGCTAGAGCAATTTTGAGTGGACAGATGGCAGGGAAGGAAAGGGTTAAGGAGTCCTGTTCTCAGTACTGAGCTTAATGTGAGTTGCACAAACAACATGAGTCAAATCTATTTTCCTAACATTCATTCATACTTTCCCAACATGAGTTATGCTTATGGGTGAGGTGAGAGATGTGTTTCTGCTCTTCCATAAAAGCATTCAGCTGAATTATTGTTTTACACTTCCCTCTACTCAAACAGTGGTTGCCTTTCAAGAAACAATCCCCTCTGGAGAACGCTAGAGATCTATGATGTTAGGTTGCATATTTGTTTATTTACAAATATATGAGCTGAGAAGTGACACGAGTAAAATGTCCAGCAATCCACGTTCCCAAAGCAACATCAGTTACACACACCCCATTTTAAACTAGCTCCTTAGCCAAATGAATTAATGCATTTGTCACAGATTTTCTGCACCTCGCAAAATAGGTTCGCTTTACTGGGTTTCCTTACTGCCTCCTCCATGGTCTTTTCAGCGCCAGGTGGGGGTTGGTTGGTTGGTTTGTTCATCTAGGGCAGGCCTCTTAAATAATACACAATCTCTGGGCTTTCTTGTGTGATCTGTATGCATTGTAAAATGCATGGGGGCATAGAAAGCTGCCTTATACTGAGTCGGCCCATTGATTCATCAGTGGGTGTGG